AAAAAAAAAAAAAAACTTGGTGCCATTGTTCTGCCAAATGTGCACACGTTTTCTTTCCTAATCGGTTAGCGTACTGGTAACCAGTACTTTAAAAATATTGCTTTTACATTGCAACTTTATCTAAAACTGTCACCCTTCACCAACTAGCACTATTCAGACTAATCAGTAAAGAGACCCTTTCCATTCAGTTATGTCATCTTCCTATTTAGAATGTTTCCTACCAAGTGAATATAAAAATCTTAACTAAAAACCTGCTACTGCTTTGATACAGTGTGTGAGTTGGGGGGGAGAGGATGGAAGTCATGATCGGCAATTCACAAAATGTGATCTAATTCCCTATGATTACCACCTTCTCCTTTGAACTTCTGTAAAACATTTTATCTGTAACACTCATTTGGTACTTGCAGTACAGAAGCTTGTGTTATATATAATATCAATGTAAAGGCAGTAAACATGAGCAGATTATAGTGTTTATATAGGTTGCAATATAAATTATAAAGTACTATTAAGGTGTTTTTGCTACTATTATTGGGACAATTGCCATCCTCCTAGGAACAGGGATGGCTCTTTAAATCCCTCATTACTCCTACATAGCACTGCACCTTAAACAAAGTATGTGCTCAGTATACACGCAATGAAAGCTCACTTTTTTTTTTTTTTTTTTTTTTTTTTTTTTTTTTTTTTAGTTTATTGCTCAGGTAAAATTTGGCTTGAGCTTTGAAAGTACTATTGTTTTTGAGGTTGAAATACATTGCCAAACCTTACTTTGCTGATAAGCCATTTTTACCTCATTTCTCAAAAATTTACTCAGGTTTAAGATTTTTGTGAAAGACCAAAATTTCTTTATGATTTTATTATACTTAAAAGGATTGTATTTTTAACAATGTACTTAAGAAGCATTGTGCATACACTAAAAGGTACTGAAGCCTGCCAGAAAGCCCAATAATGCTGTTAGTATAATCACACAATATAGTGTCTTTGGCAACATCATGGTAGGAAGTTGATAAAATCCATTTATCTCCCCTTTCCAAAGTGTTTCAGCTTCTTTGAAAAGTTACGTGGACCTTTTGCCAATATTTTGATAGATCTCATGGGAAAGATATCTGAATATGTCGGATATACTAAGAATAGATGGGAGGGTGAACAACAAGGGAATGGCAAGCCCACGGAGCTTTTTCCTTAGGGCATTGACGTGCAGGATCTGAGAAGCCAATCTGGTTTAATGGCCAGAACCCCTAGGGGAGTCAAAACTCCCAGATTGTGGTTCTGGTTTTCCCCCTTACTTTTTCACATACACCTGCCTGGTAAGTAGCTTCTGTTTCTCAGTTTCTCTTCATCCTACTCCATTCCCACTCCACCCCCAAGAGTCCTTTCCCTAGGATTGTTTAGAATAAATAGAAACCGTGATCCATCAGACCACAACCAGGAATGAGGCTTGAGGAAAATATAAAGTGTTACTCTTACTGAGTTTAGACATTTGTGGAAAACTGACTTTTATTTTCTGCCAACAGGGGAAGCTTTGCACTTGGCTCGGGATTTTGGCTACACTTGTGAAACAGAGTTTCCAGCCAAAGCTGTAGGAGAACATCTTGCCAGACAACATATGGAACAGAAAGAACAGACAGCAAGAAAAAAGATGATCCTAGCGACCAAGTAAGCAGAATGGGAAGTCTCTATGTGCCTTATCTCCGTTTTTCCATTTTCTTTGAATGAGTCTAGTAAGTACCAGCTCTTTACAACAGGGTGTCTCACACTTCAGTAGCTAGATGAGTTATACAAGGACATTCCCCACTCCTGGCCTTGTGTCCGTAGCAAGACTTACAAACTGCCCTTGTTTAGGAGCTATCATTGACACTGAGGAAAACCTCTCCAGAATATGCAGGAATTCCTAGGAGAAAAGTAGGTTTAGGAAATGTAGATCCCAGGCAAGTATGTCATTAGCTGCTATGTAATTTAGCCCAAACCACTCACTGTGCCTTGGTACACAAGAGGGGAAGATCTCAAAACACTATGAATGTTTGGAGAATGTGACAAAAGAGGACCGAAATGTGTGAGAGGTAAAAGGGAGATCTGTGGGACCAAGGATCACCATCAGTACTCTCATCTTTTCTTGGGTGTAATTAGGTAAATAATGCCTGTACTGCTCTACCCACAATAATGATACTGTTGAAAAGGAAAAATATAATGTATGAGAAAGCTTCTGAAAATTGTAAGAAGCCCAACAAAAATGTGAATTAAAATAGTGACAGAGATGATGTAGGAAAAGGGAAGCTTATGCATAAGATGACTTCAAATTCCCTCAAACTTGAAAAATGTTCCTTGATAAGGAATGGAAGAATGCCATTTATTGTGTGAAAGCCCAACAGAACAGAACAGTAAATTGAAATTTTTAGAGAATAATCTTTGAGGCATTAGCAAATTTTTGCTCTTTTCTTTATTAAATTAAGTTCTGGTACATAATAGATGATTAATAATTTTATCTAATTTCCTAACTCTATGATCAGATTTTAGAACTAATAGTCCCAGGTGGGTTAAATTATTTCTAAATTAGTCTCTTACTTGGGGAAAACTTACATATATTTTTTAGTATTTATTTTGAGAGAGAAAGTGCATGTACTTGCATGCATGTGGGGGAGGGGCAGAGAGGGAAAGAGGGAGAAAGAGAATCCCAAGCAGGCTTGCCTCTGTCAGTGCAAAGCCCAGTGCAGGGCTTGATCTCAGAACTGTCAGATCATGACCTGAGCCAAAATCAACAGTCCAACGATCAACAGACTAAACCACCCAGGTGCCCCTTGGGGAAAACTTCTGAAGAGATAGTATAAGGTAGACAGTGTTAAAGACATTGCTTCTTAGAAACTGATGAAACATGACTTCCCATCACATTGGCTAAAATTTAAATGGGCTCAAAATGCATAAAACCAAAACTAAATATTTCTTCTTCTACCAACTTCTAATGTCACACAGTTATTATCATTATTATTTTTTACAAGTTTAAGGGTTTAAATGGGACACCTGCCACCCAACAGGCTAGCCCAAGATACTTGAGTCTCTTGTTAGGGATTTGTGCTGCTTGTGGCTGGCACTGTTTGGGTTTAGGATATATTTGTTTAGGACAGTAACTCAGATGATTCATCTCGCCCCAAAGAGAAGGAAAACAAAAGATGCTGGCAAAGGAGAAAAAAGGTAAAACAAGGAAATGAAGGGGAAAGGAATAGCAGAGAAAGAAAATTATAAGGCAGTTATAAAATGTGGACTTAAGATTTTGGGAAACCTTGTTCTGTGCAAGCTCCTGAAAACTTCTTGGTAGAACAAGCTGGATCTGGATTATTTTGTGTGGTGTATCTCCTGGGGGATATTTACTTCTGTTTTGCTTCTACTCTTGCCCTCTTCCAAGGGAAGACCCAAAGGGGTCTTCATCAGTAAGATTTCAGTTTCTCCAGAAGGAACTGAAAGTACATGTAGTCAGTTTGAATCCTTGATATAGTCTTGGGAGAAATATAAAGACATGTTACAGATCAAGAGAATACAATGCTAGGGGCGTCTGGGTGGCTCAGTCGGTTGAGCATCCAACTTCAGCTCAGGTCATGATCTCACACCTGGTGAGTTTGAGTCCTGCGTCAGGCTCTGTGCTGACAGCTCAGAGCCTGGAGCCTACTTCAGATTCTGTGTCTCCCTCTCTCTCTGCCCCTCCCCCGCTCATGCTCTGTCTCTCTCTCTCTCTATCTATCAAAAATAAATAAACATTCAAAAAAAATTTTTTTTAAAGAGAATACAATGCTAGGATTTAGGTAGTATCCTCCAGGTGTTCCCAAAGCATAATATCATTCGGGCTGGCAGGATTATACTGATTTTGCCAATATGTGCACTCATGTGACAGCTCTGAATGACAGTTATCCCCAAATACAAATTATCTAAGAAAAAACACCTTTATATTTTCTACCTCAAAATTAGTTGCTTGAGGTTTCATCATGCATATTCTTTTTTTTTTTTCTAATGTTTATTTATTTTAGAGGGGGTGGGGCAGAGAGAGACGGGGACAGAGGATCTGAAGTGGGCTCTGTGCTGACAGCAGAGAGCCCAATGTGGGGCTCGAACTCACAAACCGTGAGATCTTGACCTGAGCCCAAGTCAGACGTTTAACTGGCTGAGCCACCCAAGCTTCCCTCATCATGCATGTTCTAAGACCTTCACTCCCTAATCTAGAGAAATCCTTCTTTTTGTCCTCCTTCCCCCAGGAATTCTTCCACAGCTGCCCACCCTTGCCACCTGCAGCAATACCACCATTAACGTTTGAAATAGAGGTTCTTATTTTCTTGTGAATTCCCATAACTCTGTTTAAATGTTCGTGCATTCAAACTGATGTGGAGATTTCATTTTCACAGAAGTCCAGTGTTAGAAGCACTTTCCGGTATTAGGAGAAATACTTTCATATTTGTCAAAGTAATGCTGAGATGTCTATTTTAGAGTAGTGAATTCTTTTTTGATGATATTGTGGTTTCATACAATATTGCAAGGACATGTACTTTCCTTTGATCCTTCTGCCCATAGCTGGACATTTGCAAACCATTAAATATCAAGAATTGAGTTCACTGATTCCAAATAACTTATTTTATGTAAGTGTAAAGAGGCCATAAGCATCTAGAAATTAGGAGATAGCCTGTATAATTTTTTTGTCTTTTTGGCTGTTTATACCCATCCCATCTTCCTATTAGACAATGTGAAATGAGAATTAAAGAATCAGAGATAATGCAGTCATACAAGCACACACAATACGAGCAGTCATCAATAGAAGTAGATGAGTTAAGGGGTGTGTAGGAATAACATGCCTTTCCTGCAATGTATAGATACATTTAACGTGTGTTCTGAGCAGTTTCTTGTTTTCCAAAGGTAACTCATTGGATATTTTCAATTAAAATGCTCGACATTGAAATGGTCAACTACGTGGGTATTCATTACATCCTAGTTAGCTCACCTTTGTTCGTAAGACCATGACAATTGCATCAAAAATTCATATGAAATTCAAAATCTTCGGATGAGAGATCCAATAGCTGATCTGCATTGTTGGATTGGCTCACATGTTTCTTTTTTACCTCTGTGAATAAACAAATTCAGTTCTATTTAATTATGTTGCCAACTGTACAATTATATGAAGGGCCCATTGGCTAAGGGGCTAGCCTCCTAATTCCTCTTAATTTCTTATGTTTTGTTGATTAGCCAAATATTTTGGTGTAATTAGACAATTATATATAGGAGGGATAGAAACTGAATTAGACAATTTTTTAATTCAAACATGTACAGACAAAACATTTGATATATGGAAAAACACATTTAAACTTCTTCACTGAATTTATAACTAAATATGCTTAACATTTGATCGCATTAGGGTAAAGCAGAATTGTTAACAAGTTTTAATTGTTACCGTTGCAATAATCGTCAAAAGGAGAAACACCAACTTGAAATTCAGACATCAGCTTAAAAATTATGTCCTTAAGGACAATGACGTAAGTGATAAAGTTAGAATTTATGATTCACCAAAGATCGTGTTACATAATTCATAATGTGACATTTTGTTTTGAGAAGTATTTCTTATTGTAGCTTTATAAATAAAATTTTAAATAAGGATGAAACTAGTCATAAAAATAATAGCCCCATAACTGTCATAATGAGATGATGATCATAATTGCCTAAGGGGAGTCTACAAAATTGTCATCTGTTTTTAAGTCGAGAGGCTGTCCTAAGTCAGTGAGTTAAGCAGCAGAATCAAATACCAGAGGTTGAGAATTCTGGAACTTCTCCAGATACAGCTTCCTGTGTGGTGTAGCTGAATTGCTCAGCATGAGTTAAATTTTTCCACCCTTTGCCTCTTCCTCATTTCTTCATCGACTTTTGGTTTATTGTAACTTGCTATAATGTTTATATGGTAAGGAAGTTTATTTACCAACTTATAAATTGATTTATTCAATTATCCAAATAATTCCTAAATCCTAACCATAAGAACTAAAGCAATGTTTCAACTTTTATTTTAGTTTTTTTTTTTTTTTTTTTTTTTTTAATTTTTTTTCAACGTTTATTTATTTTTGGGACAGAGAGAGACAGAGCATGAACGGGGGAGGGGCAGAGAGAGAGGGAGACACAGAATCGGAAACAGGCTCCAGGCTCCGAGCCATCAGCCGAGAGCCTGATGCGAGCCTGACGCGGGGCTCGAACTCACGGACCGCGAGATCGTGACCTGGCTGAAGTCGGACGCTTAACCGACTGCGCCACCCAGGCGCCCCTATTTTAGTTTTTAAATATATTTTAATCTGATATAAAATTAAATACTTATCTTTAAACAACTCCAGTATTTTTTTTTGTAATAATGGATCACACTGATCATCTACCACATAGTAATTTCTATTGCCAGTCTGAGAAATGATAGCATGAGTCTGTATTCAAAATTTTAGTTAGAAATTTCCTAAAAATAAAGCTAACACAAAGCATAACAGATAATGATGCCCCACCAAATGGCATTTTTTGATGCCACCGATCAACATAAAATAGTCTAATACTGCTATTCATCTATTAAAACATAAGCAGTACAGTTGGCAGTCAATCAGCTAAGTCTAACTCAGAACAGAAAAAGGGAGAAGTTCAGATCAAGTATCCTCAATGAAAGTATATACATGCAGTTGTTCAAAGCGTGCATTTAGATGCTACATCTCAGAGATTCAACTAAAACATTAGCTGGAGGATATGGAGAATCCTGTTTGATTTAGAGCAGGTAAGGGCTATCTCTGTTTTTTTGTTTGTTTTTCGTCTCCTTATGGCCCCTTTTACTTTCAGCTGTGATCAGAATGAAAGAGGCAAATTCTATGAAATAACACAATATGAAAACAATGCTGGCAATAAACCTGAGGATTATTGTTCATAAAAAAAATCACAAATGATCTTCAGAAGAAATTTTAGGCACCTAATAATAAAACTCCACTGGTTTTAACTCGGTGATAAATTATTTGTGCCACAAGACATTTTGTCACTTTTTGGTAGTTATTTGTTAATGACACAAATGCTTTGGAGAGGAATTAGTGGCTGGGTCCATGGAGGGACATTCACTTGGAATAATTGGACTCTTTTGTACTTGTCTTTGGCTACATTGATAATTATAGTCATGGCCAATGGTTAGATTTTATGACTACCCATTGTAAACCCAGAAGAAAAGGACTAATCGCTATCTCATTATCTCTTGAATATGGAGTAGCATCACTTTAGATGTGTTCTTTTGAACAGTTCCTTGGCTGTCCTTTACTTCATTCTTCAGCTACTGTATTAATCTAGTGTTTTGTGTTTGTTTAAAAAAGAACTGTTTTCTTCATATGTTTTGCTTCTTTAGAAATACAGCATTTCTATTACGTTTCACAAAAGCTTTACTGTTAGTCAACATACTCAGGAATGTGGTAATTAGAAGTGAAACCAGTGACCAGAAATCACGATTGTTTAATGTTAAGAAAAGTAGCAGGAAAATGCTATTAAGGGTACCTTTTGCAAGGAACCATCTTACATGGGACATAGCAATCTTTTTTTTTTTTTTTTTTTTTTTTTTTTTTTTTTTTTTGAGGCTAGTGGGCTGAATTGTGGCAAATAAATATATACTTTAAATATTAAAATATAAATTCGGTTCACAGGAGTCTGAATTATAATGAAATGCTGGGAAACAGGATTTTCCAAAGTCCACTTGAATCATGGCTCTGAAAGAAGCCTATATAACTTGATTTAAACTTATTTATAAATGTGATATCCCTTCCAAAAATCATATTTTAATTTTATAAAAAGCAATGATTAAGTGTGATCCTTTCATATAGATTTTTCCTTATGCTGAGGTTAATCTATGAATATTCACCTTAAAAATGAACACTGGTTTTGTCAGTGCTCGTGGGCTGTGAGTCACATCAAAAATTTTACAATCATCCTGTAGTGCTTGAAAACAAAGTTGCTATTGTGAACCTTACCTGTGTGTTATAGATGGAACTTTGGAGGTTGCTTTATGAAAGTTTACTCCTCTTTTAAATGAGAAAACAAGCCTTTGGTAAAATATCATGGGATGAAATTAAAGCCCCATGTTGAGTTCAACTTCAGTGTTGAATCTTTTATTCTAGACAAATTTGTAAAGAATTCCAAGACCTCTTGAGCCAAGATAGATCACCACTGGGATCCTCCAGACCCACTCCAATCCTAGACCTTGACATCCAGAGACACTTAACACATTTCAGGTAAGACTGGTTTTCCAATTTCCTCAGACTCTTTTTAAATTGTTAAACCATCCTTATTAGCCCAGGCATTTTTATATTCATGTCACAGTTCCATTTAGAGATATCACTTATATATTCATATAGTGACTGACTGAATCTTTTGAAATTGCAAACATCTAAGGTCAAATTATAAAAATAACTAATGCATGAAGCATTTTAGATCAGAAAATCTAGTGTCTGTGCAATCTTCAGGAAATTGTGACTTTGAAAGTGAACACTATTATTTCAAATAATGGTACTTTTGAATGAGGATTCTGAAATCATTTAAATAGTACTTTATCTTGGTGAGGCACATTGTTGAATGGACAGATGATATGACACAAATTAATGGGATATCATACACTGATTTTACAGGCGTGTGTTAATTTCTGCCCAATTAGAAATTGCAAATGGTTCTTAAATTAGACCACACAAGTGTATTTTAAACCTTCTGGAATGTGTTACTGAAAGCATATTCAAATTTTATTTTCTGAGGTTCTTTGGAAGATAGTAGAATTTTTTTTTCTAGATAATTTATGCCCTAGATGCAATGTGGAAAGGAATATATTAACTACTCAGGTAATTTCCGGTTTTAAGACTCTAAAATTCTAATGTCTTTCATGATATTTCTCATCAGTGTAAAAAATATGTTATCCTCTTTTAATAATTATCATTTAGTTTAAAAAACAATGCTAAGCAAAGACTATTACACATTAAATTTTAAAATGTTTTCAGTACATCTCACTGATTATAATGCTGTTGAGGAAGATACTCCATTATATAAAATAATGGGTATTTAAATGAGTTGGAATTTTATCTGCAATATCAGAGGCTTTTAAATAGAATATTTTATTTTGTATAATGCCACAAGGCTCCTCAAGATGTAATAGATACATCTTTGAAGAATAAACTTAGGGTTTACCTTCTAACAATGCACCAGATGTACCAAACATATATCTCACAGGACTTTTTTCCTACCACTTAGTTGGATTAGTGAAAGTGAGTGTAATAAAACTGGTAGAAATGGCAATGTCCAGAAGTTAAGAGAAAAAGGCTTTGGAGTAGAACCATCTTCAAATCTGGACCCTGATACGTGTGAGCTGGGTTGTTTTGAGGTAACATGCATTCTTTCCAAGCCTTGATTTCCCTAGCTTTAAATGGAATAAGGACCGTGTATTATATGGTGGTAGTGAGCTAAAGTGAGATAATGATTATAGACACAGGCACCAGGCTTGGTAGAGCATGCAACTCTTGATTTTGGGGTCATGAGTTCAAGCCCCACGTTGGGCATAGAGCTTACTTCAAAAAAAAAAAAAAACAATAAAATAAAATAAGATAAAATAAGATAATGAATATAAAGTAAGCATTTAGTAAATAATGTACTGTTTACCACTGATCCAGACTTAAAAGGTATGGTTTGCTTCACTGTCATATCCATACAGATATATTTTTTTCATTTTTTTTAAAGTTTATTTATTTATTTTGAGAGAGAGAGTGAGAGAGGGGAAGGGGCAGAGAGAGGGGTGGGGGGAGAGAGAATCCCAAGCAGTCTCCACACTGTCGGTGTGGAGCCTGATGCAGGGCTCGAGCCAACAAACCCTGAGATGGTTACCTGAGCCGAAATCAAAAGTCGAACACTTAACCAACTGAGTCACCCAGGTGCCCCAATATTTGTCATATTTTTATTTGTATAAAATACAAATTTTATATACTTTATGTATTTTATTTGTATAAAATACAAATACAAATATACTTTATTTGTATTTGTATAATTTTTATACAAGTTCAATTCAGAGCTTAATAAAAATTTTTATACAAATTCAATTCTCAATTTAAGGAGGTTTGTTAAGTTACCAATATACTATAAGGAAGAACATACTGTTAAAACTTGGAGAACTCAGATTTTATATGATAGCTACCAGGTTATTTCCAGTTACAGGTGCCACAGCCTTCATCAGACAGTGAGCTGTCCTTTTTCAGGCTCAAAACAAAATACAGCATCAATGTGTAAATTGAATATTAGCGACAGTGTGAAATAAATGGGCAAACCATTTGTTTGCTCAGCATAGGCACAATCTGCTAATTTGTTGATACTTTAGTTAGTTGCCAACTTAATGCCACAGAACTCCTTAGAGAAAACTTTCGCTTCTAAACTTGAGCTGAATGTTTCCTATGTGGGCTTTATATGCTCTTGCTTATCTTTCCTCATGCAGAATATGGTAACAAGCTAGTCTGGTGTTGGCCAGAGAAGAGATAAATATATTGAAAGTGGCTCTCCCCATCCTCAGCAAAAAAGGCATTATATTTTGAATGCAAAACTCTTAAGATTATGTATGGCTGCAGATTCTCAATCACAACAATTTGAAACACACAACCATACCTTAAAACAATTTAATACCACATGGGATCATATATAAAATTTTTTTTAATTTTTTTTAACGTTTATTTATTTTTGAGACAGAGAGAGACACAGCATGAACAGGGGAGGGGCAGAGAGAGAGGGAAACACAGAATGGGAAGCAGGCTCCAGGCTCTGAGCCATCAGCCCAGAGCCTGACGCGGGGCTTGAACTCGCGAACCGCGAGATCGTGACCTGAGCTGAAGTCGGACGCTTAACCGACTGAGCCACCCAGGCGCCCCTAAAATTTTGGTATTATTATTTATATATTGAGTATTTTGTTATAAAATTGTGATTTCCTATTTATGTATTTATTGGGGGAGAGAGAGAGAGAGAGAGAGAGAGAGAATCTCAAGGAGGCTCTATGCTAATAGCGATCCATCTCATGAACGGTGAGGTCATGACCTAAGCCGAAATCAAGAGTCAGACACTTAGCCAGGTGAGCCACCCAGGTGCTCCTGTGATTTCCTATTTATTATGCCTTTCTAATATTTGTTAGATTTTTCATTTACTTTGCTTTACTACATTCCAGATTACTTATTTTAATGACATCTTCTGATTTCATAATGGAAGGTAGAAGGATGATAGAAATCACTTAACTAAAATTTGCTTTATAGCAAACTTCCTAAATTGTATATTTTTTATTGTGATAAAAAGCATATAATTATAGGGGTACCTGGGTGGCTTAGTCAGTTAAGCGTCTGGCTTCAGCTCAGGTCGTGATGTCCCAGTTTGTGAGTTCAAGCTCTGCATCAGGCTCTGCGCTGACAGCTCAGAGCCTGGAGCCTGCTTCAGATTCTGTCTCCCTCTCTCTGACCCTCTCCCACTCCTGCTCGCTCTCTCTCTCTCTCTCAAAAATAAATAAACAGTAAAAAATATTTTTAAAAAGCACTTAATGTAAAATTTACCATCTTAACCATTTCTAAATGTATGGTTTAGCAATGTTAAATATATGCACATTGTTGTGCAACAAATCTCCAGGACTTTTTCATTTTGCAAATCTGAAACTCTATAACCATTAAACAACTCCCCATTTCCCTCTCCCGCTAGTCCCTGGCAACTACCATTCTACTTTCTGTCTCTGTGATTTTGGTCATTCTAGATGCCTCATATAAGTGGAATCATACAGTATGTCTGTTTGTGACTAGCTTATTTCACTTAGTATAATGTTCTCAAGGTTCATCTGTGTTGTACCGTGTGTTAAATATCCTTCCTTTTGAGGCTGAATAATACTCCATTGTATGTATATGACACACTTTGCTTATCTATTCATTCATTAATGGATACTTGGGTTGCTTCTACCTTTTGCCTGTTGTGAATTATACTGCTATGAATATGGGTATGCCACTATCCCTTTGAGATCTTGCTTTCGATTCTTTGGGAAATAAACCCAGAAGTAGAATTACTATATGATATAGTAATTTTTAATTTTTTTTATTTTTTGAGAAACTGCCATAGACTTATAATATATGAGAGAGACTTTATCATACAGGATTAAGCAGGGCACAGGTAATGACCTGGGGTAATTAGGAAATGCTTTCATCTTTCAATCCACAGTACTTAGCACATAGAGTATGTCCAATAAATATGTTAATTCTTTCTCACAGTGACTGCACCATTTTACATTCTCACCAACAGTGTACAAGGGTTCTAATTCCCCGACATCCATGCCAATACTTATTATTTACTATTTTTGTTTTTGTTTTTGATAGCGGCTATCCTCATGGGTATGAGGTGATATCTCATTTTGGTTTTGACTTGTATTTATCCAGTGATGAATGATGTGAAGCATCTTTGTATAAGCTTGTTGACCATTTATGTGTCATTTTTGGAGACATGCCTATTCAAGTTTTTTTGCCCATTTTTCTGGTTATTTGCTTTTGTGTTGTTGAGTTGTAGAAGTTCTTTATATATTCTGAATGTTAGCACCTTTTAGACATATGATTTGCAAATATTTTCTTTCATTCTGTAGGTTGTCTCTTTTTATTGTGCTGATTATGTCCTTCGATACACAGAAATTTTTGTGTTGTTCAACTTGTCTGTTTTTACTTTTGTTGCATGTGCTTTTGCTGTCATATCCAGGAAATCCTCGCCAAATCCGAAGTCATGAAGCTTCCCCCATATGTTTTCTTCTAAGAGTTTTATAGTTGTAGGTCTTAAGTTTAGTTAGGTCTTTGATCCATTTTGAGTTAATTTTTATACATGGTATAACATAAGTGGCCATTTTTTTGCATGTCTTAAACTATGTCCTTTTAAATAAAAGATACGTGGTTGACATTTCCAATTAAAACCCAAGTTGAAGTCTCCCAATGTAGAGCAAATTTAAATGTATGTATTTTTTTATTATGCATTTATTAAAAGAAACCTCAATAGAATAGCTTAATAGGACAGTAAAGGTCAGCTTGCTGCCTAACCTTGAAAAAGACTTCATGCTTTTTAAGTAAGCCCTTAAATCTTTCTTGGAGCTTTTTAAAAATCTCAAGGACACAAACACATTTTAAAAGATCTAATTTAATAGGTCAAGTTTAGCATTGAACTTGGGCATCTGTGTTGTTTGCAAAGCTCTGAAGTTGTTTCTGATAGT